ACTGGGCTGAGGAGCCTGTGAGCAGAAAGTCACACAGCCAGTGACTGAATCATGCTCTCCCCACCTCCATCTCTTGTCTTGCATCCGCAAACGCTTTTGTAACAGTAAAGACACTTTTAGATAGAAGACACTCGTCTTAGACCTGAAAACAAACTACTTCACCTGCCAAATACATGTCACTGTGACCGAACTCTCGGCTTGAGCTGCATTAAATTTAGACATTAGTCATTCTCTGTGATCAGGTTAGTTACAGTATATTAGTTATGTTAGTTATTAGTTGGTTATAAAGCTGCAAATTAAATTTTAAAGGGAAAAAACACATAGGTCTTATATAATCTTGCAGCAGTGTACATCTATTACTGTACTCTTTTAAAAGCTCTATTCTTCCATGTAGATTAAAGATGATTACAATTAGTGTAGTAGTGTTTAGATGCGCTGTTTTTTTAACCCATCTGAACTGGTGCCTTTAAATGTGAATCTGGTGTATATCAAAATAGATTTGAATGGTTCATTGGTTTAATTGAAAAGACTCAGAAATGCATGCATTAGATAACTAAAGCTGCGACTAACAATGGTTTTGGGATCTGATTGTGTGCAAAAATGATTTCAAATACATTTTTAACAAAACAAAATGATTTAAAAGCTGTTTGGAAGGAGCGAAATCGATAAAGTTACCAAAGTGAGATGAGCCTGAATAAATCCAGACCAAGGTTTCCATGTGCAAAGGTGGTTGGCAGCTCTGCTCACGAGTACCACCAGGCCGTGTCTGCTTTTGGCAAACTAACTCCCAGGGCTGAATTGGGTGACTTAATCAGGTTTGTCAGAGGCAGTACAGCGTGTAGGGGGTCTCTTTGCTCCTGGGTAGGGGTTTAGGTACTAAAAACAAGAAAGGGCTAATTGGAACATGGCACATCACACATGCATCTCCAAGGAGACAGCTGGCTCCTCGACCATCAAGACGGGAACATCGCTTCTAGGTCAGCTGTGTTTATTTCTCTAGTCAGGAGACTTTTGATTTGAATGTGAGATGATTGCTTACATTTCACTGTTGAATATATTTAAGTCATGTGAGCCCTATTTGGACAGTACTGATTTTCTAAACAGATTTGAGTTACAATTCACCCAATGTTTGTATATATATTAGGGATGTAACGGTATGAACATTTCTTATCACGGTTATAGTGACCAAAATTATCACGGTTATCAGTATTATCACGGTAAAAGTACAGACACATAAATCAGTTCACCAAGTTTTATAAGTTTTATATTTAAAAATGAACAAACTACAAATGAAATGACTTTTTGTTTGCATAATCACTAAAACAATAACATTACCAATGATGTTCGGATTTTAAATGACAATTTGTCTGACAACAGTTTAATAGCATGTTGAAATATCTAATGTAAATGCTCAAATAAAGCTTTGAAAAAGTTTAATAAAAAGGTAAACCTCACATTTCAGCCTTTAAATAAAGAAAAGATATAAGTCAAAATGATAATTGATTGATTAATAAATGATTATATGTATTTTATCTGCTCCTATCTGAATTGTTTAAATGTGTAGACTCCACATAAGCTTGTTTTTCATCAACGGTCAAAATTTACAGCAGGGCATTCAAATTCGGTCCGTTTTTGGCCAGACAAAAACTGCACGCAAGCTGAATGTAAATATAAGTCTCTGTAATTCCACTCGTTGACAGCAGGTGGCGCTTATGGAAAAGCTGAATTAGAGCTGTTTCCTGTAACCCCCGTGGACAAAGCAGTATTGCGATTTAAAGGGTTAGTTCACCCAAAAAAGAAAATTCTGTCATTAATTACTCACCCTCGTGTTATTCGAAACCCGTAAGACCTTCGTTCATCTTCGGAACACAATTTAAGATATTTTTGATGAAATCTGAGGGCTCTCTGACCCTCCCATAGACAGCAAGGTAACTACCACGTTCAAGGTCCAGAAAAGTACCAAGATGATCGACAAAGTAGTCCAGTATCAAAGTATGTCAAAGTATGACCTAATTAATTCATTAATATAGTCATTTGTTTAATTCCCTTAGCACTCTTTTAAAACCTCCCAGGTTTTCCGCCCTGTTTTCACTCAAAACGAAACTACTCTGCGTGCTGTGCAAACGTGAGACTTGGTACTTAAAACTGTGCTTTATGCTGGACAGTATTTATTTATCACGACGCGAGTTGTTCAAATCGCGGTAATCTAATACGGTTTTATATATATATTATATATATATATATATATATATATATATATTGCATGCATCATGAATGACATATAACTTTTAATGCATTTTTTTATATATATTATTTTCATTTATTATAAAAACCTTTTTAAATGAACTTCACATGAGTTTACAGAAGTGGCTGCTTATAATAAACCCTTAACCAAGCAGAGAAATTTAGATATCCATTTTACCTGATCCTGATATTATGGCCTGTCTTAGGAGTTTCCACTATTTGATTCTCCTCAATTTTTTCATTATAATTTTTCGTTGCATGCTGTCTGTATTAGGGATGCAACAATACAGTTAGCCCACGTATCAATAGAAATGCTTAAACTGTCTATCACGTTATAAGCGGGGAGGAGTTTCCTCATCTCAGTGTGTAAACCACAGGCAAAAACAGAGCCTATTCGGGGAGAAATAAAATGCAAAACCGTAAAAAGAAACGCAATTCACAAGCGTGTATTGAACCGTGGATGTTTTACCGAATGGTTCAATATTATATTGAGATTTGTGTCATCCCTAGTCTGTATTGAAAAGTGCAGTATGCGGAAGATTAGTGCGCAAACGGTAGCTTATGTTAGTCAAGAAATAACATGACGACAAGTGTTGTGATAATACAGTATCAGCAATCACAGACATCTGCATTTGGACAGGATTCGATTTCTCAGAGGACAGTTGAGTTTGCGGAAAAACAGTAGGTATTTGCTCTGGAACTTTTGCAAAGGTTGTGTGAGGGAAAACAGACTTAAGATTTGGATGGGATTAAAATGGCAAAAATATAAACTCAGAAAAGTATGACCTCCTGGGAAACTAGTCCAGTCTAAACAGGGCTGTGGACCAGTTTTATGGTGTTTTTATTTCATTTTTGACAGCAGTGGGTCGTAATTTTAAATGCTGAAAAAGAGCAGCATGAGCATTTAGCAGAATATCTCCTTTTATGTTCCACAGATGAAAGTAAGTCATATGGGTTTAAACCAATGAATGAGGAAATGAATGTTTTTTTTTTTTTTTTAAGTGAACTATTCTTTTTAATAGAGAACATCTGAACACGTTGCACTTTATATTGTTGAAAGTGGAGCTGCCATTCATTTATCACAGTAAAAGAAGGTCACTGTTTAATTTTAGATGTGCTCATTTTCCAGAAAAATGTGTGGATCTCTTTCTTCCTCCTCATTTGTCTCTCTTTTTTTCTTCTTTCTAGCTGGTCTCAAAGACCTTGACCAATTTTACCAGTCAGTCTAAACAGCGCTGGTTTGATGTACCCGACCACGCATGAATCTAGGCCAGACCCAACATTTTTCATTGACCAGCTCTCCACTGATCTCTATTCATAGCTCGAGGGAACCCAGAGCCACCTCAACAGCTGTGAGAGCAGGGCCGGCCGGCCCCTAGGAGCCCACAATGGGTGGAACCAACATATGCTCCTTCTCATTCACTGACATGAGCCAATTTAACCATCATCCCCCTGAACCTTTAATGGGTAACGAGATGTTAGCAGCTCTTGATTTGCCACCCAGCTGCTGCTGTTGCATCAGAAACGACCAAGCGTGCTCCTCAAAATTGTGAGAGGATGAGCAGATATGGGAAATGAGAGCAGCCGGCCCATGCTGTAATCAGCAGCTCTTGTGCTCGTTTCCATTTTTTTCATCCTTGAAAATGTGCCCTTGTGACAATTAGCACACTGATCATTAGTGCTATTTGTGTGTGGCACTAGGCATCACTTTCCGGGAATGTCATTCTGCCCAGCTAGTCATAAACTGAGCATGTTATTTTTCTGCTTCATGGGTTGTTTTTTAATTTTGTTACCATGGCACTGTGAGTCAGTGTCCTAGTGTCAGCTTTGTTTATCTGGGCCGCACATATATCAGAGCGGAAGCGTGAGTTCTTTGAGAAATCAAAGCGATTATTTGAAAAGAAGAAGAAATTTCACACTGAAGTGGACTGCATTCATGTTTATTTGTACTAATCAAGAAAGTGATCACAGAAGTGTTTATGAAAGGCCCAGCTGAGTGTGAAATGGAGCCCATTGTTTCATATGGGTATGAATAAGGGTCACCTTATCTGTAAAACAGGATGCAGGACCCTCTGGATGATCTGTACTGTTTTGGTTTGGTTTTGCTTGTTTTTTTTGTTTTGGTTTTGTTTTGTGTTTTGTTTCGTTTTGTTTTGTTTCGTGTTTTGTTTTGTTTTTGTTTTTGAATTTGTGATTTTTTTTTATGGGAAAAAAGTTGGCTTCGGATTGTTTATCATTACTGTATTAAAGGGATTTGTCACAAATTCTTTACATTACAGCAATGAGAATTAATAATGGAAATTAGTTCGTTACTGTAAAAAAAATCCTAATAGTCAAAAAATAGGTTTAATTAATTTTAAGTAACGTATAATTTCTTTTTTTCTTGTACAGACATACATATGTGGCTTGAAAACTACTTCCTGTGACCTAATCACCACACAGCCTTATTTTTTACAATTTGTCTTCTAAATGCATGCACCAAATCATCGCTTTATCTCAAGCGATCAGTGCGTCTCCATGTTTCCTGTTATTGTCTGACACGGTCAGATAAGCCGAGCAAGGAGCCTATGGGTCTGTTTCCTCCTCACGTCTTCAGTTGTGTTGCATCTTTGAAATTTGCCGCCTTTTCGTGTAACTGTGGCCCAGCAGTTTCCTCTTCTCGTGATGAACGCCTACTTCCTCCGCCTGTTTCACCTCTCTTTCTTTATCTCTCTGTCTTTCTCACTGGTTAAGTCAAGGTTCATGAGAAGGTGTGTGATAAATACGGGTGTAGTCTTGATTTTAAAGGCTTTTGTTGATCATGTTGAGAAGCAACACATTGCACTGCTGAGGCTTAAAGAACAGGAAACATCAACTCGTTTGAGCGGCTGCTAGTTGCGGAGGTTTCTGGGTAAGTTTCTTCATGCTTTCGGATGAGTCCGGGCAGCTCAGGGTGTTGCTTTGGCCACTGGGATCAACTCTGTGACCCCTAACATATCACTACAGATTTGTCTGTGAACCAGGCTGCATTTTTCTTTTTGTAAATCTAAATACATTGCTGAAACTTTTCATTTGGTCTGTTTGCTTTATTGAGGTGTCTCCATCGAGCAGGCAGGATAATCCATATTGGCCTAGACACTTGAATGTGTTTTAAAATGATATGCAATTTAGATTTGATCTGCAATGTTGTAGCTGTGCACCTGTTGAGTGACATTTCCACACTGTACTGTGCTGTGTTTACTAAGTAGATGCATATTTTTAGTGCATATCTAGTTTTTGTGGGTGGATCCTTGTTTTAACATTGTAACTTTAATCTTTACTGTTTCAATTGGGTAATTTTTACTAGAAGTGGCAGTTTCCTTAGGTAGGTATGGAAGGGTAGGTATTAGTGAGATGTGGAAACTGCTGCTTAGCTGTGTGAGTAATTTGACAGGATATCCTGGTTACTGTATGAGAAATAGAGGACTTGTCTTTGACACTAGGCGTCCACTGCAGCTCAGACTGAAATAATGAGTGCAGAATTCTTGACTGTCTACACCAGTGTTTCCCAACCTTTTTTTAGTCGCGGTACCCTTTGGAAATTTTAACAAACTTGTATAGATGCTTTTTTGAACATTTTAGCAATTTAAAAATATTAAAAAAGGATTTTTTACACTGCACCCCTGCTCACGACAGACGGCACCCCGGTTGGGAAACACTGGTCTACACTGTTAGTTTTTTTGTGAACTATAAACATTTCAAAGGAAATTAATGTTTTTTTTTTTTTTTTTTACAGCTGTTAGTGGTAAGGAGAGGAGAGTCAGGTGTTTGATTGTAACTTAAAGGGGTCATAGGATGCTACATGCACTTTTACAAGTCGTTTGAACTGAAATGTGTGTTGGCAGTGTGTGTACACAACTACCCTATAATGATAAA